ATAGACGGTTCCACAGGCGCTACACTCGGGTTCCCAAACCGGTGCGCCGCAAAAGACCAGAGTGAAACCACCAGTATAAGTTCGAGATGTGCACCGTCGGAGGCCAAGTGCTCATTCGCATGTGCAGGCTTCTGCCACCAAAAGCACCCCCGAACGATCACATTCACACCTCGCAGGCGTTGAAAGACATCGCAGACGATGATGGGAAGCTAGGTCCCGGTATTTCGGGATGAGATTACAGAGAGACTTGTGCTGTTTCTTCCACAACTACGAAAAAGGGATCCGAAACGCCGGCTTTGATTGTGCTGATCAGAAACTTCTCAGACCCTGTTGAGGCTTCAGGCATGTAAGTCGGTTCCCCGAAAAGGTCGCATTTCCTTGGAGTTTGGTAATGAAAACGCCTTCCACCCGCTCGGGTGAACATTTGGTATTTACGGATGCCAGAGAGTCTCGTTGAACCGTATAATGGAACATCGAGACGTGGTACGGCTATAGAGGAAAAAAATCACAAAGTCAAAGCTTGACTTTCATAGAAATGCTGTGAAACGCCGAAAGGCAAGATAAGCACAACAAGGTAAAGAGAAAAATAGTAATGACACCAAAGGGACTGTCATATGGCTGGTAGACATATATATGACGAATTCTCAAGAGAAGGAGATAGTAGATGATGTTTAGTGTCACAAAAATGAAACTGAGTATGCAAGTGAAATATACCTGGAGGGTGCATTCGGGAGATCACAGGGGACTAAGGAGGTTTGCGTATTTTGCCCATTCTCGAGATCCACCAGAACAAGTACGAGCATTCTCGCACGCAAACCAGTTCACACAAAGAAAGCCGCCGAAAGGTTAACGCCTTCCTTTGCTGGTCCTTGTTCCAATGATAAATGCACCTGTACCGGGAGGACTACCACCACCGCGAGACGGGATGATCCGTTGCGGCGTGGCATTTTAGCATGCAGGCTGGTTCACGTGAAGAAAGCGGCGGCGACAATTTTAACGCCTTCCTCCGATGGTCCTTGTCTCAATGTTACTGCACCTGTATCGAGAGGACTTCCAACACCGCAAGAAGGGAGGATGCATTGTGGCGCGGCTGAGATGCGCGCAAAGATCGACCAATATGTGAAATCAATAGGAGTGAGCAATGGGGCGATATTGCCTTTTAGATCAAAGAGAGAGGGAGAGACAGAGGGGACGATCAACAAGCAGGAGATTACACTGACACAGTACGAGAATGATTTGTGAGGCCTAACATATCTTCCACGGTCAACACCGACCTTCCGATAAAGATCTTACGCGCTCGCCAGAAGAAGCCTATATCGTTCGCAACCAATGGCCACACCTTTTTTTTATCGACAACGACATCTTACTGTACAAGGATGAACACTACAATTCCCCTCGAGTTGTCCTCCCCAGCAGTCTAGTTATTCCCGTCTTTTCCGACCTACATAATGAACTTGGTCACGTTGGTCAACACAAAACAGAAGCCGCAGCCCGTCAACGTTTTTGTTGGCTACGACTACGCGAACAAGTATCCATATTTTGAAACATTTGCCCTACGTTTGCGTCGTTTAAGAATCTTATACAACGCATGCGCGCCCCACTACAGTGAACGCAAACGGGATTTCTCTTTCAATGGGTCGGTGTGGACATTATTGGCCCACTTTCGTACACCACCGATAAGCACCACTCTATCCTGGTCCTAGTAGACTATTTCACCAAGTGGATTGAAGCTATACGTCTCCTTACACAAGACGCGGCTTCCGTTACCATCATCATCTTTAACGAATGGATCCGCCGATTTGGGGCACCCCTTTCTCTCCATTCAGAATGTGGTGCTTACTTTGACAGTAAGTTGCTACGCGAAGTGTGTGAGATGCTACAGATATACAAGACCCATACAACACTTTTCCACCCAGAAGGCAATGGTCAAGTCGAGAGAACGAACCGAACGCTCACAACCTCCTTAAAGCCTTTGCTAGGGATC